CTGCAGCAAACCGTGCGAAGTCAGCTTGGGAAGAGGGCAATGGGACGTAAAGTCAGATTATATCCTGACAATCGCACCAACCCATGGATTTAATGATGATTACACGCTTCAGTTTGATATAAAGTGAAGAAGACCCCTTCATTAAGGGGATTCGGCCATTCTTTACAAAAAAAACTCTCTTGTAAAAAACACTTACTTTTCATAACTCTATGTACGTCAGTCCGCTTCGCGACCTGACCCATACCAAAATCAATAAAAATCAGTGGACGTAGGATTTGCTACCTTAGCATCCGAACCACTTTAAAAAGTCTTCTTTGCATTTATTTCACTTCATATATCCATTATCACGTGTGGTAATTCATCAAACAGTAATAACTACGTGACAATTGGTTGGTGCCAAAAACGAGCATCAACACTATTATTCAATGCCAGAGGACAAGCAGTGTTAGTATCCACATCAAGAAGTTATAGAAATTTTCACTTACTAAGCATGAAAATAGAGGGAGAGACTATTCAAAGACTTAAGTTATGTACTACGAGTTCCCTATATATTTCAGGTGTTTCCGAATTATGACATGCATTACATAATACTAGAAACAACATTTTCACTTGTTTCCCTGATCTTGTTCGTTGTAATGTCACATTGTTCACTTTATGTTGCTTCTAGTTCTACTCAAGAAGCGTTGGTTAACATCCATCACCATAGTTAAATTGATTTTTTAATTAAAATTAATTTTCATTATTTCAGTTCATGTAGATATTAGTTTTTTTTCCTTTTTTCTTTTCTTGTTAATCGAAAATAGAAAGAAAGCCTTGGTCAGTTGATATAGGATTGTTAATCCTGAATGATATTTCCTTGAATCACATATAGCAAAGACCAAGATTGATCAATAATTCATGAAGTAGTCCTCACTGTATGAGATTGGGAAAAGCATTTACTTTTTAACGCGCATTAGCCACGGTTCAAGTCTCCTTACATAATATACATAGGATTTTCCTTCAACAAAGGTCTTCGTTAGCCTGAGTTTAGTCTTCATCAACACTAAGACCTCGACTGCAACTTTGTGAAACCGAANCATATATTTTTATGCTTCTTCAAGTATCTGAATATAAACTCCACTATTAATTTTCAACCTTTTCTTTCTTTTCAGAGCTAGGCACTTGACAAGAGCAACCGATTGAATCAGCATTATACATCTATTATCTTTCAGCAATATGTTATTTTGCAAGTTTTCATGGTAAAACAACATTTTCCAGAAAAAAGCATAAATCAAAAGTGCTTTAAGTGTTGCTGGAAAAATAATAATTTGTTTGTTATTATTTGTATTGTGTACTTCAAGTTGATGGTAAGTTTATTATTTTCCTGATACATTTATTAGATCTATTGTAAGTGTTTTATTTCTAAGTTTTTGCATGAGGAGAACTTTTGCCAGCCTGAATATTTGACTATTAGGCTCTTGAATTTTAATCCTTGTATTCATGGGAGTTTTTAGTGAATAAGTTATGTATTGAAGATACGTTGTGCTTTACATATTTATCTCTAATTTTGTTTAGTCCTATTGTTTTTTATTAATCGTGGTATTCAAGTGAGTTTTTCTTATTATTTAAAATAAGGATACAGTTGTAATCTTAGAACTTACTCAGGGCAATCCTAGTAATTTATCGCAACACACTCGCCATAGTTGAAATGGAAGAGTTTCCACTTGCACTCCTCTAAATCTCCCATTTCAGTTATATCCCAAAAGGCACAAAATCCTCTCCCTCTCTTACCCTCAGAAAAACCCTATATTCCCTTTATATCCCTTCTTCATTTTTCACTTTCACTAATAAACTCAATCCCAAAAGGGCGAAATTTTGACCGAATTTCCCATTAATTCTTGACTTTTAAATTCTGGGTTTCTTTTTCCTCTAATTATTTTTGCTGGGATTTATCAAAGTTTCAATTTTTAATTCGTTTTTGTTCATATATCATGGATTTTTGCTCTTGAATCTCCGGTTTTCAATCGACCCATGTTCGTTCCAACAATAAAAAACTTGTTTTTCCTCCACCAAAATCGATGTTCTGAATCTCCTGTCAAGATTTTACCCAGAATTCATCACTATCCAAAGTTTNCCATCACCAATACCGTCCATCTACCATGAAGGAGACGATGGTTCGAACTGGTTCGATTGGAAAATCGCTTTGATGGGTTACGGATGCGGATTGGTAATAGGCTTGTCTATGGGATACATTGTATTCACAATAGGAAAACCTCTATGGTTTGTAATAATGGTCGAAAGATTGAGGCTCAGAATCATAACAAAAGTGAAGAGAACACATCCAAGAAGAAGAAATTAGTGACTTCAAGCGTTACTCTTAAGAGGTGAGTGCTTCAGTTTTTACAGCATATATTTTTATGCTTCTTCAAGAATTTGAATATAAACTTCACTATTAATTTTCAACATTTTCTTTCTTTTCAGAGCTAGGCACTCGACAAGAGCAACCGATTGAATCAGCATGGTATATCTATTATCTTTCAGTAGTATGTTATTTTGCAAGTTTTCATGGTAAAGTCACATTTTTCCAGAAAAAAGCATAAGTCAAAAGTGCTTCAAGTGTTGCTGGAAAAAAAAAAATAATTTGTTTGTTATTATTTGTGTCATGTACTTCAAGTTGATGGTAAGCTTATAATTTTCCTGATACATTTATTAGATCTATTATAATTGTTTTTTTTCTAAGATTTTGCATGACGAGAACTTTTGCCAGCCTAAATATTTGACTATTAGGTTCTCGAATTTTAATCCTTGTATTCATGGTAGTTTTTAGTGAATAAGTTATGTATTGAAGAAAGTTGTGCTTTCCATATTTATCTCTAATTCTTTTTACTCCTATTGTGTTTTATTAATCGTGGTATTCAAGAGAGTTTTTCTTATTATTTAAAGTAAGTAAGGATATAGTTGTAATTTTAGAACTTACTCAGGGCAATCCTAGTAATTTATCGCAACACACTTGCCACAGTTGAAATGGAACAGTTTCCACTTTCACTTCTCTAAATCTCCCGTTTCAGCTACATCCCAAACGGCCCAAAGCCCTCTCCCTCTCTTACCCTGAGCAAAACCCTATATTCCCTTTATATAGGGTTTTGCTCAGGCCAAAGCCCTCAACCCATCAATTCTTGTACATATCTCAATCTTTTCATTTCTCAAATTTTGACCGAATTTCCCATTAATTCTTGACTTTTCAATTTTGGGTTTCTTTTTCCTATAATTATTTTTTCTGGGATTTATCAAAGTTTCAATTTTTAATTCGTTTTTGTTCATATTTCTTGGATTTTTGCTCTTGAATCTCCGGTTTTCAATCGACCCATGTTCGTTCCAACAATAAAAAACTCATTTTTCCTCGACCAAAATCGATTTTCTAAATTTACTGTCAAGATTTCACCCAGAATTCATCACTATCCAAAGTTTCACATGTCTAGATTGCCCAAAAACAAATTTTTCGACACTAGAACCCACGTGAAACCAATAAACAAAGTCACTGCAGAACTGGGTCGTGAAAAAAAATGAAGTTTCGGATTCAAATGTAGAGAAAATTAAGATTTTGATGAATGGGGGAGTCGTTTTAGGGGCGCTTGTTCGTGGGGTTTTGGTGTTTGGTGGCAAGAGAGTTTTTGCTGTGGAGAGTGCAGTAAATGCAGGGTATGGAGTTATTGGACAGAGCATATTGTTGTTGAAGAATGCTTGGCCTAAAGTTTATCAGGTTTTGAGAGTGTTCAAAGAACAAGGTTTGGTTTTGGCTGCGCTTTTGGGGTTGTCTGCGTTCTGTTCAGTGGCTGAGACGTCTATCACCACGCTTTGACCTTGGAAGGTATAAAATTCTTGAGCTAGTCTGTGTTTGTTTAATGTATATGTAATTGTGTTGTCACAAATTATGCATTTAAGTGTTTGTTATTATTCTGGTCTTGGTAGTGTATTAGCTTATTTGGTTTCATTTTGATGTTGGTGGTTTTATTGCTATTGTGTTATTATTTTGAAAAGATTATTTATTTATTATTCTATGCTGCTTTATCTATATTATTTATAAAGTACAATTATATAATTTGGGTACAATTTAGACTATGTTCCGTGAGGTGTTGAATGCTTTTTCTTTTTTTTTGGGTTTTAGTTGTGCTTAGTTAGGATAGCCGAATGAGAATATATGGACTAACAAAATAGCGCAAGCTCTTTGAATGATAACCACATTACCTGTTTCAGCATAAAGATGTTAACTGAAACATCATATGGTACTTTTGGTGTAAGTTGATGGTTGCCATCTCTTCAAATAGTTTTATTTTTTCTAATTCGGCCATTTGATATTATTGTGAATCGTGCGGGAATTGGCAGAAAAAGAGCCTGAAATGGTGTCATTAAATGCTTTGCGATGTATGTTACTCGGTTTTTGACGACTATTCTCATTGGCACAACGTTCTACCCCGCCCCTTAATGTAAGCATAGCTATTCTTTTCTTTTCATATTGAGTTTGAAAATTAGTTCTTTTATAGATTCTAGGTACATATTCAGTGTGGCTAATATTGGAGCCACTGCGTTAGTCACAGAGGCAGCAACAACTTTATTTGGTGAGGCTGGTGTCAGTGCAGCAGCAGAGGAATGACTGTAAGTAAAACGTTCTCTCTCTTTTAAGGACATGCAATATATTATGAACTCATATTGAAATGCCAGGCAGTGGTTATAGTCGACATCTAAGTTGGATGCTGCCCAGGATATAGGTTGCAGAATAGATTGCTGACTAGTTAAATGTGATGATCGCAATGATATGGCTCATTTTGATTATTTCACATTTTCTTGATAACTAACAAGGGGAATTTTATTAAAATGAACTTACAATTTATAAACTAGTACCATCTCTTTGTGAATTTTTTAACTACTCATTACCTCAGAAATAATTAAAACTTTCTAGGAATTTGTTTTTGTTTGTTTTATGGTTCAAATGCTCTTTTCTTAAGATTTTTTTCGCAGAAATGATTGAAAATGTGTTAGATAAAGGATACACATGTTGGAGAGGCGATGACACCTATTGTTGATGTAGTTGCAATTGATGTAAGTGCCACTCTTGTTGATTTCCACAGTTTGTGTGACTCATCAATATTCAAGGTAAATTGTTCTTGGTATCTTCACTGCAGTGCGTGCATATTCAAAAAGCTAAGAAGTTTGACGGGTGTGTTAGGTGCCTGTGTTTGAGCAACGTGTTGACAAATAATGGGCATTGCTTATGCAATGGATCTGCTGGATTATGTCCAGAAGGTCCGGGGATTTCTATTCCTCTTCCTCCCTCTCTGAGGTTAATACCACGTTTTTTATTGATTTTATGCGACAATCTCATAGTGTGCAGAATTATGATCTTTCTATTTTGAAGGTGGATCTCCTAGAAAGTACCACAGTGGGAGACATGGCCCACAAACCTGCATACTTCATCCCTGGTAATCCTTAGAGCCAATTTCAAGTTGATGCTGTGTTTTTTTAATGAAATTTGTTGTATTATTTATTTTTCTATGAATCTGTTGTTTATATTATCTGTCTGAATAAATAGGGTTTTGTTATTGGTTTGCAGATTCAATGACAATTTGGAATCTTCTCAGAGAGTTCCACATTAGGAAGGTTCACATGGCTGTTGTTCTAAATGAGTATGGTGGAACTGTGGGGGTATATACACACTGATGTCTGAATCAAACAAGTTAGAACTAGTTTTTCATTAAACATTTTGATGTTGAAGGGCTGCTTGGTTAACTCAATAAGTACCTTTGACCTTCAGTTTTGATGGCCTAATAATCATTTTCTTTTTCTGGATGATGCAGGTAGTGTCCCTGGAAGATGTGGTTGAGGAAATTGTCGGTGAAATCGTAGATGAAAATGATTCAAAAGTAAATCTCACTGTTAATTTTGTCTTTGTAATAACATTGCTAAATGATAGACATAATACAGATTGTCAGTATTTTTTCATCATTATATTGATTTATTTCGATTGTCTGCCCTTTATCACTCATTAACAGGAGAAGATCCAGAAGAAAACTGCCTACATTGTGATGCGAGCAGAGGGAATATATGATGTGGATGCTATTACATCTATTGATCAGCTCTCTGAAGACTTAAATATCAAAGTGCCAGAGGTATGACGTTTCTTCTAGTAATGCTGTGTTGATGCTGTTGTTAATGGCACTGTGATGTTTATGTTAAAATGCATATTGATTAGCTAGCATTGAAGTACTTACCGTGGCAGGATTACCCTGTCACATTTATAATTGTGAAGTACCCTCAATTCCCCGTCATCTGTAGAAACCTGTTGATGGATAGAAAGAACTTTATTGAGAACACCCCTTTACCCCTATTGGGGGAGACCTGCACTGGTAAAGGCAAACATGTCATTATTATGGTAGTTTAGTAATATTTCATTGACTGAAAAGAATTTGATTAATCACAGTAATACACTTGATATTATTTACCATGATTTGTGGACTGATCTGAGAGTATTTAACTGCTCAGTTATGCATTGCTGTCAATGGGTAAAAGCTGTATTCCAACAGTCTTCGTCATGCATGTTAGGGCTCCTATCTTATGCTTCAACTGAAGAAGTTAAGACTTGATTATATGTTGTTTTAAGTGTCCATGACTGCTTAATTTCACATATCTAGTTACCTTTCCTTTCCTATTATTTTATAGGGTCATCAGTATGAGACAGTATCAGGTTTTATATGTGAGGCCTTTGGATGCATCCCAAGGACCGGTGAGAGTATGAAAGTGGTCCTTGAAAAGGAAAACCAGGAAGAAAACGAAGAACATTATGAATCTGGATCTGATCTACAAACTCGAGGTATGGTCTTGATCCTTTTGTGCTACATTTACTCTTGTGGAAGCTCCATCACATTAAGTTCTGGTTATAAGTTCACAAGGATCATTTCTAGAACCTTTACATTCTTACTTCTCTATCTGGCATACATCCCACCATAGAAGTAGCCAGGAATATGATCTATTAAATCTTTAATATTCATTTATAATATTTTATTTAATCTATTTATAGTTGTAATACAAAAATGCATCAAAAACAACTTGTTATCAGTACCAAAAGAATCAACTATAGTTGTTACAAATTTACAAAATTAAAATTTTGAGTAATAATTGTTTATGGTACGTAATTCAATTGGGAATATTATAATGCATTTACAAATTTACAAATGTTGTAAGTTGTGATATTTATTCAAAATGATAATTTATGGGGCATCTGGCTCTTGGGCTTTGCCCTGTTTCTTCAATGCGGGTAACTTCACTTTAATAACATAGCCAGATTATTAACTGCTTTATTATAACAATATTAAGTCATGAACCATGCCATGAGTAATTTAATTTGCCATCTTCAAAACATAACACCATTTCTTTATCATTCATCAGCATTTCTCTGTTTAGATTCGTGTGATGGAGAAGCACTCAAATCTTTGTAATTATGAGAATTTTAATAATTAATGAATTAAAATTGCTATAATATATACCTATTTTTTCTCCATTTAAGGACCCATATTATTTGGACAAAGGCAATTGCTTCTGTAAATTTCAGTTTTCACCATAAAGAAATAGTGGTTTAATGGATAAAACCAACTTGATCTCTTGTAACAGAGTTCGCCTATAATTAGTGGATAAGCAAATAAAAGCACAATACTCTTCTCTTGTAACAGAATGCCCTGTTTCTTGCTATGTAGGGGGCCGCAAAATCCATCAGACTATCACCAAGGTGAGCTTTCATATGTTTGTTCTTTCTATTGTGAACTTTTTAAGTTTTAGGAAATGTTATAGCTTGTTGGAAAAATTCTGTGGCAGTTTGCAAATTTAAATTTTCTCAGAGTGGTAGACTTGTCTCAAAACCAACTCACGGGGCCCATTCCGTAGGCAGTGCACTTTGATACCTTCGGAAATACTTTATACACTGGAAACTTGTGGTTGTGCGGATTTCAACTGTCAAAAGAATACAGAAGATATGAGACATTACAACCAACCTCAAAATTGTAAGATGATACACTCCATACAAATGGATTTGATTGGAAATTGATGTTGATAGGCTATGAATGTGGAATGGTGTTTGGAATGATCATAGGATATCTTTTGTTCTCAACAGGAAAGCCTCGGTGGCTTGTAAGGATCGTTGAAGGAGGACACCGTCAAAAGGGGAGAAGGCCAAACAAGAGACAATGTGGAAGAAAAGAGTAGTTCTTACAAGTTCTCCAGTGTAAGTATTGTTTCAAAATTGCAGAGGAATGTTTGTTATCATCAAATGCAAACTTTGTAATAGTGTTGACGATATATGTGTTGTACCAATAGTTTTGAAATTTAATTTAGCTACTCTATTGCGAAACTCACTCCTGTCATTTCCATTTTGCAAACTCCTAGGGATTTGATTCCATGGAATTGAAGAATTTGGGAGAGAACGTTAACTTGGTATATGATGAGCCCTGGTTTCCCGCAATTTGGCAAAGTAAAATTAACTTGGTACTTACTGCATTTTGGTTTGAGATAATTGGAATATTATATTTTGTACCAACTAAAATTAGCTATAAAAATGGGTTAAATCATAGAGTTAAATAATTGAGTACAATAAAAGACAATACCAAGATTAAAAAGTGAGAGCCACCAAAAAGAAGTTTAGTGAGTGTCGATTTGTGAGGCTTGTGAAAGACTTGTAATTTTTGTTCTTCTTCATAGTGAAATTCTGCAACAAAGTGGACGTAGCTCTCATACAGAGAGTGAACCACTATAAATCTTGTGTTTGTGTATGGTTTATTTATTTGTTATTTGTTTGTTTTATTTTTGCTTTCATAGGGATTTAGGATTTGTTAACATTCGATTAAATCTCCACCCAATAACGGCCTCAAGACTTCAACGCATGATCATTGGTGAACTCGAAGCTAGATAATTTGTGTGTTAGCTACCATTTGTAGAAAAATAATAATAATGATGGCACAAAACAGTTGGCCATTGCGTGAACCCCTGCCCTATTTCTTTTAGTGCAGTTAATTTTCTGTTCCAAAAAGGGAATCTGATCTTAAACTAAGTCTTGGTTTATGAGGTGTAAGACTAATTTTATTCCCATTTTTTGTTTTCCAACTTTTATGTGAGGGGAATAGTTGCAGAACAATAGAACACAGAAAACTCTGTACGGATCTTTTAAGAATTCGTATATTAATGTGCTTAGAATTTTACTTCTGAATTCATAATAATTTGAGAGCTAAAATATGAATGATAGTGGTTTGATTTGAATATTTTATTTTGAACAATTTTAGTCAGCCATTGCATGAGCCCTGACCTGTTTCTAATACTTTGTTTAACATCTACAAACACAGTTAACTTTCTTCTTTCAAGTAAAAAATTATCTCATTCATTCAGTCATCAATAATTTGGCCAGGATGGTTACAATGGTAAGATTTATTCCATCTCTCACAAATTATATTCATAAACATCTCCGAGAAAGTGAGTTCTAGCTATAAAGATCCATTTTTTTTCTTTTCCTATGATGATTTACCGAAATCTAAGAGAAAACAAATAAAATAATGCATTTTAAAGTGATATTTTTTTTTTCTTCATATGGAACAATCTTTATAATAATATATTATAATTAATGTAAGTGTTGGAAAGTAGACACATTAAATTATTGTAGTAGTAGACCAAGACATTAGTGCTGGATAAATGATTGAAATAACCAATCCTCTACCCCCTTCCACACTGCATGAGCTAAAAGGATTGTATGTCAAATCAAAAGATCTATATATATTATTAGATGTACAAAATTTGTGATTGATTGTCAATAAATAAATCTTGACCATGCATGAGTTAAAATACACATGTAGTAAGATATTTTGAAGCTTATCCATGTAAATTCATAACGGAATAGGATTCAAATTATCTGGAACATGACTGGGACAGTACGTTACACGTTTTCTTTTTGCCATGCATGGTAATTTGGTGATTTTTTATTTCAAACTTGCTTATTCTACGCGGTGCATAAAATATGTATATTTCTGCTTTTTAACTTTTAATGGAAGGCATGTGGAAAATGAAAACATATAATCGAGACTCTGTAAATTGGAGACCATTTTAGCACCAAAAATGACAATTTCGACTTCTACAATGCAAGTGATGTTAAATTGTCAAACTGTTCACGTTCGAATAATGCAAAATTTAGTACCAAAAATTGAAATGAGACAAGACAGAGTGGAATTCATGTAATTTTAAAGTCTTCTGAATGAGAGTGAAAACAATAGGTGACATAGATAGTCTTTACGACTTATGTTCATAACATCATAGTTCATATATTAATTTCCATGCCTATTTTCTCTCCACATAAGGCCCCATGTTAGTTGAATGTAGAAATTCTATTAGTATAATAAGTCAGTCTTGTTCTACTTGCTAATTTTCTTTAAATTGATCATGAAATGATTTATTTAGGTAGAATTGTTTTGTCGAATATTTAATTTTGTGGAGTCAAATGAACTTAGATGGGAAGTAGTCAATACTCAAATCTCTTTAGATACATTAACCTTACGTTTGTCATTAATTTACGCAGAAAAATGTCATGAAGGCTTCCTACGCGGTAGTTAAGTTATTGGGGAAGTCATGTAGGCATTTCCCCACTGCATCAACCAATTAAGAAGCTATATTTTTCGAAACGCATAAGAAAACGAAGACTGAAGCAGAAGGTGAATATATATCAAGGTCAAAACGTAGGCACTGGTTTCAGTAATTTTTTTTGCATCAAACCAAGTAAGCAATATAGTGTGGCGTCAAAGCTTATTTATATAAATTTATGCGTTTGAGAAAATAAATTTAAACTAAAGAACATTAAACTTCATAAATTCCTACAGAAGATATATCTCCAGCAGCCTCACTTCACTCTAGTCAATGATAAGATTCCATATTTAAACTTTGATCTCCATTTTTTCCTGATTCCAAAGAGTTTGATTGCAGGGCAGCGTAGGGAGAGAGCAAAAGAACCTAACACATGTATCTTTAAACTTGAGTTTAAGAGTTAAAATTTTAAAATTAAAGTTTTGAATTTTGAGGTTGAATAATTATGAGTTACAATTCCTATAACACTCTCCAAAATTTTTAGAATTTCAGTTTATAGAAGCTGAAAATTTAGATATTTCTGTTAGATTAGAAGACTCTTCTGACAGAATTCCCTTCTTGCATATGCAAATAAAAGCATAATATCATTCTCTTGTGACAGAATGCTCGGTTTCTAGCAATGCAGAGGCCATAACATCCATCAGTTACCTTTGTTACTATTAACATGGCTTAGAATTTATATGTCAATAGTCAGATCATGTTCAATTGATTAACTTGAAACTTTTAATAAGAATTTGTAGTCACAGGTGTATGATCTATAACTCAGAAAATAGATGCAAACAGGGGAAATATAGAAAAGATCTATAAGATCAGGAATGTCCACTGAATTTCAAGAAATAACAATAACCGTATATATATCGACCTTTTCAAAACTGTTTATGTTCAAATGATGCAAGTGGCCTTTCAGATCTAACTAAATTCAGCTTATCTGATAATTTTCTAACTAGTAGGATATCAGATTGGTTGTTTACGCTACCGTCTTTGCAATCAATAGACCTTTCTTCTAACTTAACTCAATTCCCAAGTTTCTTAAGGACCGCAAAAAATTTGCAAATTTTGGACATTTCCAGCAGCAAAATTTCTGGCCAAATTACCCAAATGGAATCAAAATTGTGGCGGAATTTGTATATCCTAAATCTTATCTCGCAATAATCTTACAGATAATACTCCATCATTATTTGAATACTCATAAATCACTCATTTGCAATAGCAGTGGCATTCATTTTTTGATAGAAATTCTCCGCTGATGAAATTTATCAAGAAAATTTCTTTACATTTGTTTTAGGGAGAAGTTTTGTCAACCTTAACATTACTGTTAGCTCTTGAATCCAATCCATGTAAGACATTTGTGGTATTTTGTTATTAGAAAGTAGAAAAAAAGCCCCTGGATGATCAAGACTAAATCCATTAGTACCTCGTTAGTGCTTGACCAGAGACTTGAGGGAGTAGACCTCAGTGCATGACCAGAGACATGTGGAGGCTATCATGGCACTATCTACCCCCCTGCCTCTTCCTGTTGGACTTGAATTTTCAAGCCATTTCCTCATCTCCTTATAACTCTTCTTCTCGTTCAATCAAACTTTGCTCCCCTGAACAAAGCTCTGCCTTACTCCATTTCAAGAGCACCTTAAAAATTCATAGTTATTCTTCCTATCCTTGCGAAGAATATTATTATCCTAAGACAGATTCTTGGAAAGAGGGAAGTGATTGTTGCACATGGGATGGGGTCACTTGTGATAGCTACATTGGTCATGGCATTAGCCTTGACCTTTCTTTAAGTGGGATCCGTGGCACTGTCAATGACAATAGCAGTCTCTTCCTCCTTCACAATCTCCAGAAGCTCAAGTTTGATCGTAATGATTTCAATGAATCCACAATCTCATCCAAGTTTGGTAAATTCACGAAATTAATATATCTTAACCGTTCTTTCTCAGGATTCCATGGCGTAGTTCCAACTGAAATCTTTCACCTATCTAAACTTGTTTTGCTTGACCTCTCTAATGGTATTTTTCCCCTTCGATTACCTGAATTGAGCCAACATGTTTTTAATAAGCACTTACAGAACCTTACAAAATTAAGATATCTTCATCTCGATGATGTGGATTTGTCTTCAGTTGCACCTGGCTCTTTGCTGAACTTGTCTTCTACTATGATATCTCTTTCAGTTGGCAGTACTCGTCTACAAGGCAGGTTTCCAAATGGTGTTTTCCACCTTCCGTTCCTCCAGAAGTTGAGTTTGATCGGAAATGGAAATCTTAGAGGTAATTTACCAAAGTCTAACTAGACCAGTTCCCTTAGATTTTTGGATCTCTCTGATACAAATTTCTCAGGACAATTACCTGACACAATGAGCAATCTTCTATACTTGAATGTATTGAATCTCTCTTTTGCAAATTTCTTTGGAAAATTGCCTGACAAAATTGGCAATCTTAGATACTTGAATGTGTTGGGTCTTCAGGGTTCGAAATTCGCAGGTTCAATTCCAACATCACTTTGGAATTGCACGAATATCACTTCTTTGGATTTGTCATCCAATAAGTTTATAGGCGAAGTTGCAATGTCATTACCTAAACTTAGTCAGCTTAGAAGTTTAGACCTCAGTTTCAACAGTTTTTCAAGACAGATTCCAAATGTTTTTGGCAACCTCAGCAAATTAACTGATCTAGATCTTTCATTCAACAATTTTAGTGGTCAGTTGCCTCTTCAGCATTCAACATCCCACAACTTTCGGGTTTAGACTTTTCTGAAAACCAATTTGAAAGTCATATTCCATATCAAGTAAGTGGTCTTTCGAATCTAAATTCTCTCGACCTATCTGATAATTTTCTAGATGGAAGAGTTTCATCTTGGTTGTTTACTCTACCATTTTTGGAGATGTTGGACCTTACAAATAACAAACTCACAGGTCCGATTGAGAAGTTCCATCAACCTGGTGCTTTGAATCAAGTTTGTTTAATTTATAACAAAATTCAAGGTTCAATTCCAAATTCCATGTTTGAACTTTAATTTAAACCTTATAGACCTTGACCTTTCTTTCAACAATTTGAGTGGCATTGTGAAACCAGAAATGTTGTCCAAGCTCAAAAATATAATTACGATTGACCTTTCCCATAACACCTTACTATCTTTAGTTACCCCCAAAAAGGCCAACATTACCTTCCCTAACCTTTTGGAGTTCAGATTCTCTTCTTGCAAAATAACCAAATTCCCTTTCTTATTAAGAACCTCAAAAGTCTTGCAATTTTTAGACCTTTCAGACAATAGAATTCACGGCCAGATTTCTCAACAACAATTGGAATTGTTTGAAAAGTTATACTATTTGAATCTCTCTCACAATTTTTTGACAAGTTTTGTCCCTTTTGGAGAAGTTTCCATGATGAATCTAGCTACTCTTTACCTTCAATCCAACTTGCTCCAAGGCCGACTTGTGATGGTAGATGCACCTTATGTGGAAACCTTAATAGTTTCCGACAATATGTTGAATGGAGAGATCCCTCCGTTCATTTGCAACTTGAGCTTTATTCAATATCTTGATATGTCTTACAATGGCTTGAGTGGAACCATCCCACAATCATTAGCTAATAACGATATTTGATACCTTGGCCTTAATGGTAATAAGTTGGAAGGGTCATTACCACATACTTTGGTTAATTGCAGTAAGTTGGAAGTTCTAAATGTTGGAAACAACATGATCAATGATACTTTCCCTTATTGGTTAGCAAACCTTTGAAAATTGCAAGTTCTGATATTGAGATCTAATAGATTTCATGGTTTCATTGGCGAACCCAAGACAAGATTAGCATTTCCTAAGTTGCGAACACTTGACACCTCTCACAATCAATTCACAGGTATTTTGCCAACAAGATATTTTGAGAAAGTTAATATGATGTGTGATAAGAATCATGAGGGTGAATTGGAATATATGAGTGATGATCCATATGCAATTTTTCCACCCCCTTAGGGCATCTCCAACCCACGCCAAAATGGCGCAAAAAACACCAACTTGGCGTGGGTTGGTACTCCAACCCACGCCAAACACTGCGCCAAAATTGGCGCAGCACTGTAGCACCGCGCCAAAATGGCGCAGCACTGTAGCATAAATAAAAAACATATATTTTTTTTTTAATTTTGGTTTTTTGGTTTTTTTTTTTTATTTTGTTAAGTTAATTTGGGTATTAAATTTTACACCAAAAATCACACTAAATTTGAGTATTTGTATTTAATTTAATTTAATTATTATTTATAATAATGATATAATTTAAAAAATGATGAAAAATTAAAAATAGAACTTTATTCAATGCAAATATTAAACTACAATAACGCAAAATAAAAATTAACACTAATTTAAAAACACTAAAATTAAAGAAAACAACATAAACTAAAATAACAATTTAGTATTCCGGTAGATTAGTTCCGGATCCAGTAAGATCATCAAATATTGAAAAGAACTTGAGTTATTTGAGATCCTTGACCTTGTTGTTGAGCTCTTTTTTGCATAATTCTTAATTGCTCTTTTTTTTTTTTTTTTTTTTTTGTATCATTTTATATTAGATGTTGTTTTTCTATAGTTTTTCTATATAAATTTAATGTTTTATTGATTAAATAAATGCTTAATTCTATTAAATTAGTATAATTTTCAAATATTATATTTAATAAAAATATCATTCCCAATATTTAATTAATATATACAAAAATAATGAATGAAATAGATATATTGTTGATTATTCAATAAAGAAAAAAAAGAATATTCTAAGGAATATTCCTTTTGGTGCAATATTTGGTGTTGTGGGTTGGAGATGGAATAGGTTTGCACACAATTTGCACCAATTTGGTGCAATTTTGCACCAAATTGGTGCAATGGGTTGGAGATGGTCTTAGGATGGGATCCATGTTCAAAACTATTCCATTAGTTTGACGGTAAAAGGCATTGATAGAAAAATAGACAAGATTCTACCATTTTCGTAATGATGGATTTGTCAAGCAATTAATTTCAAGGGCGAATACATCAAGTAATTGGAAAGCTTAATTTCCTCCAAATCCTTAACTTTTCTCATAATAACCTTATAGGTCATATTCCACCATTATTGGAAAATTTGACAAGTCTTGAATCATTAGACCTCTCCTTCAACAAGCTTGTTGGAGAGATTCCTAATCAATTGGCAAGTCTGACATTTCTTTCTGTGTTGAATCTTTCATACAACCGGTTTGTGGGATATATACCTCAAGGAAATCAATTTGATACATTTCAAAATGACTCATACATTGGAAACTTGGAGTTCTGTGGATCCCCATTGTCAAAGAAATGTGGTAATGATGTACCATCATCACCAATACCATCCATCTACCATGAAGGAGACGAAGATTCGAGTTGGTTTGATTAGAAAATCGTTTTGATAGGTTATGGATCCTGATTAGTAATAGGCTTGTCTATGGGATACACTGTATTCACAACAAGAAAACCTTTATGGTTCGCATTAATGGTTGAAAGAGTGAGGCTCAGAATCATAGCAAGAATGAAGAGAACCCATCCAAGAAGAAGAAATTAGTCACTTCAAGCGCTGCTCTTAACAAGGTGAGTGGTTCGATATTTACAGCATATATTTTTACGTTTTTGCGAGAACATGAATATAAACTCCACCACTAATTTTTTAGTCTTCTCTTTCTTTTCAAAGCTAGATACTTGACAAGAGCAACGAGCATAACCGATTGAATCAGTATGGTCTAAATGAAAAAGGCTTCAATTGTTGCTGGAAAGAATAATTTTTTTATTATTATTTGTATTGTAAAGTACTTCAAGTTGATGGTAAGCTTATAATTTTTCTGCTCAATAAAATGCACTTTCAGCTAAATTTACTTGTCCTACTGTAAGTGTTTTATTTGTAAGCTTTTGCACAAGGAGAACTTTTGGCAGCCTGAACATTTGACTATTAGCCTCTTGAATTTTAATCTTTGTATTCATGGGAGTTTTTAGTCAATAAGTTATATTGAAGAAACTTTGTGCTTTACATATTTATCTCTAAATCGGTTTAGCCTGTTATGTTAGATTAATCCTGGTACTCAAGGGAGTGTTTTTTTTTTGTTTTTTTTCCTTAAATTTAAAGAAAGTAAGGATATAGTTGTAATTTTAGAACTTACTCAGGGCAATCCTAGTAATTTACCACTCCCACTTGCCATTGCAATGTGTAAACACAGCGCACTAAAACCCGTCTCTACAATACCCCAATCAAATTACCAAATATTGAAAATGGCAGTCTCCACTTTCACTTCAAAAATCTTCCATTTCAACTATATTCCAAAATCTTCTCCCTCTTTAACCCTCTGCAAAATCCTATTCCCTTTATATCTCTTCTCGATTTTTCACTCTCACTAATAAACTCAATCCCAAAACCATAAATTCTTGTACATATCTCAATCTTCTTCATTTCTCAAAATTTGACCGAATTTCCCATTAATTCTTGACTTTCAAATTCTGGGTTTCTTTTTTCTCTAATTATTTTTGCTGGGATTTATCAAAGTTTCATTTTTTAATCATTTTTGTTCAAATTTCATGGATTTTGCTCTTGAATCGTTGGTTTTCAATCGACCCACGTTTGTTCCAGCAATAAAAAACTCGTTTTTCCTCCTGTCAAGATTTCACCCAGAATTCATCACTATCCAAAGTTTCACTTCTATAGATTGCCGAAAAACAAAATTTCCGACACTAGAACCCACGTGAAACCAATAAACAAAGTCACTGCAGAACTGGGTCATGAAAAAAATGAAGTTTTGGATTCAAATTTAGAGAAAGTTAAGATTCTGATGAAAGGGGGAGTCGTTTTAGGGGCACTTGTTTGTGGGGTTTTTGTTTTTGGTTGCAAGAGAGTTTTTGCTGTGGAGAGTGCAGTAAATGCAGGGTATGGAGTTATTGGACAGAGCATATTGTTGTTGAAGAATGCTTGGCCTAAAGTTTCTCAGGTTTTGAGAGTGTTTAAAGAGCAAGGTTTGGTTTTGGCTGCGCTTTTGGGGTTGTCTGCGTTCTTTTCAATGGTTGAGACATCAATCACCACGCTTTGGCCTTGGAAGGTATAAAGTTCTTGAGCTAGTCTGTGTTTGTTTGAAGTTTATGTAATTGTGTTGTCACAAATTATGCATTTAAGGGTTTGTTATCATTCTGGTCATGGATGTGTATTAGCTTAGTTTGGTGTCATTTTGATGTTGGTGATTTATGGAGTCTAGAACAATTTATTGCACATTGTGTTATTATTTTGAAAAGCAAATTATATTTATTCTAGTGCTATTTTACCTAATGTATTTATAAAGTCCAATTACATTATGTTGGGTATAATATTAGACTGTGTTCCGTTGAGGTGTTGTGAATGCTTTTTCTTTTTTTTGGGGTTGTAGTTTGCTGAAGCTGAGGAATAGTCGAATGAGAATATATGGACTAATAAAATAAGGACAAGCTCTTTAAACTCTAGACCACATTACCTGTTTCAGCATAAAAGATGTTTAACTGAAAGATCATATGGTACTTTTTGGTGTAAGTAGATGATTGCCATCTCTTCAAATAGTTTTATTCGTTCTAATTGGCCATTTGATGAATTGGCAGAAAAAGAGCCTGATAATGGTGTCTTTAAAATGCTTCGCAGTGATGTTACTCGGTTTTTGACGACTATTCTCATTGGCACAACGTATTACCCTCCCCCTTAATGTTAGTGTAACTGATTCTTTTCTTTCCATCTTGAGTTTGAAAATTAATTCTTTTATAGATTCTATTCACATATTCAGTGTGGCAAATGTTGGAGCCACTGCGTTGGTCACAGAGGCAGCAACAGCTTTATTTGGTGAGGCTGGTGTCAGTGCAGCAACAGGAGTAATGACTGTAGGCATGACTTTCTCTCTCTTTTAAGGACAGCAACAGGAGTAACGACTGTAAGTATAGATTCTATTATGAACTCATATTGAAATGCCAGGCGGTGGTTATAGTTGACATCTAAGTTAGGGGTGCACAGCGTATAGGCTGCCATCAAACCGAGTATTTGTCCTTACTGAAACAAAATTCATGTTTTCTGTGGATTAAAAACTCGTGCAGATACACTAAGATGTCTATACCTTATTTCAATTTCTTTAACCGGTTTTCCATTTCCTGAACGATATTAGGTGGCCGTGTTACTTCTCACTGAAATTACTCCAAAAAGTATTGCTGTTCATAATGCCACAGAGGTTGCTAGGTTTGTGGTAAGTTAAAAATTATATATTTCATTTTCTTCAATCTAAATAAGGACATCTCTATTAATTCTTAGTAGATTTGGCTTTCCCTTGTTTTTTTCCCCAATCTCATGCTTAACGTAGTTCTGCAGATTTTCCATGCTTTGCTGATGTTACTGTCTGAGCTCTATTTGACTTTGCAATGTTTCTAGGTCAGGCTAGTGGCATGGCTTTCCTTGGTACTTTACCCTGTGGGAAGAGTTGTTGCATATCTATCAATGGGAATGCTAAAAGCTCTTGGCTTGAACGGAAGAAGGTATTTGATCTTTATCTTTTATTTTTTTGGTGAAAAGATAATCATTGCTCTTCTTTTTTTTTCTTTTTGTATCTTCCACATCATACTTCATTTGTTAGCCATGTCCATCAAATTGTCATGTCTCTTGGTCTGTTGTGATTCTAGACAACTCATTTGAATGAACCAAATGGTTTTCAGTTATATTCAAAAAAGTATTTCTTGGGTAGCAAAAGAACAGGACACAAAGTTATATTTGTATGAAGTTATTCATATCATGTTTAAGGCTATGTAGAGAAGGAAGTTAGCATTAGAATGGGGCAGTAGGTTACTAGCAACGAAGCAGAGGTTTAAGTGGTAGTTATATATGTAATAAAATTAAGAGTCTAATCATCTAATAATTACAAGAGCAATTTCATTTGACTGTATTATGTTATTAAAACGGATTTAGGATTTTTTTTGAATGTTGCCACTTAAGTATTGATCAAGCTATGCCCCAATGTCGTGTATATGCGGCAAATATTTCTTATTAGTGGGGACATATTAAGCGAAAGAGTCATTACATAGTTTGTCGTAAATAATGTTCTATAAACTGTTTTTTTCCCCTATCGGTATATGTATCTTAAATGTTTTCTTTATCAGTGAGCCATATGTTACTGAAGATGAGTTGAAGCTGATGTTGCGTGGAGCAGAGTTGAGTGGGGCAATAGAGGAGGAAGAACAGGTAATGAAATTAATGAATTATAATTTTCCTATATTTTCACGTTTTGATGTTAAATATAAGTCTTTTTGTTTAATTTCTGAACGCTAGCAGTCAAAGAAATCTGTAAAGCCATATAATGGATCTGCTGGATTATGTTCAGAAGGTCAGGGGATTTCTATTCCTCTTCCTCCCTCTCTGAGGTTAATACCATGTTTTTTATTGATTTTATGCGACAGTCTCATAGTGTGCAGAGTTATGATCTTTCTATTTTGAAGGGGGATCTCTTAGAAAGTACTATAGTGGGAGACATGGCCTACAAACCTGCATACTTCGTCCCTGGTAATCCTTAGAGCCAATTTCAAGTTGATGCTGTGTTTTTTTAATGAAATTTGTTGTATTATTTATTTTTCTGTGAATCTCTGGTTTATATTATCTGTCTGAATAAATAGGGTTTTGTTATTGGTTTGCAGATTCAATGTCAGTTTGGAATCTTCTCAGAGAGTTCCGCATTAGGAAGGTTCACATGGCTTTTGTTCTAAATGAGTATGGTGGAACTGTGGGGGTAGATACACACTCGTGTCTGAATCAAACTAAGTTGGAACTAGTTTTTCATTATACATTTTGATGTTGAAAGGTTGCTTGGGTAACTCAGTAAGTAACTTTTGACCTTCAGTTTTGATGGCCTAATAATCGTTATCTTTTTTGGATGAAGCAAGTAGTGACCCTGGAAGATGTGGTTGAGGAAATTGTTGGTGAAATCTTTGATGAAAATGATTCAAAAGTAAATCTCACTGTTAATTTTGTCTTTGTAATTCCATTGCTAAATGACAGACATAATACAGGTTGTCAGTATGTTTTCATCATTATATTGATTTATTTGGATTATCTGCCCTTTATCACTCAATAACAGGAGGAGATCCAGAAGAAAACTGGCTACATTGTGATGCGAGCAGAGGGAATATATGATGTGGATGCTAATACATGTATTGATCAGCTTTCTGAAGACTTAAATATCAAAATGCCAGAGGTATGATGTTTCTTCTAGTAATGCTGTGTTGATGTTGTTGTTAATGCCATTGTGATGTTTATGTTAAAATGCATATTGATTAGCTAGCATGTGAAGTACTTACCATGGCAAGATTACCTTGTCAGACATATAATTGTGAAGTATACTCAATTCCCTTTCATATGTAGAGACCTGTTGATGGTTAGAACTTTATTGAGAACACCCCTTTATCCCTATTGCGGGGGACCAACACAGGTAAAGGCAAAAGTGTCATTATTATGATAGTTTAGTAATATTTCATTATGAGTGAAAAGAATTTGATTAAGCACAGTAATACACTTGATATTTTTTACCATGATTTGTGGACTGATCTGGGACTATTTAACTGCTCAGTTATGCGTTGCTGTCAATGGGTAAAAGCTGTATTGCAACAGTCTTTGCCATGCATATTAGGGCTCCTATCTTATGCTTCAACTGAAGAAAGACTTGATTATATGTTGTTTTAAGTGTCCATGACTGCTTAATTTCACAAATCTAGTTACCTTTTCTTTCCTATTATTTTATTGGGTCATCAGTATGAGACGGTATCAGGTTTTATATGTGAGGCCTCCGGACACATCCCAAGGACCGGTGAGCATATCAAAGGGGTCCTTGAAAAGGAGAACCAGGAAGAAAACGAAGAACATTATGAATCTGGATTTGACCGCCAAGAATTGAAGGAAAAGCATATGATCTACAAACTCGAGGTATGGTCTTGATCCTTTTGTGCTACATTTACTCTTGTGGAAGCTCCATCACATTAAGTTGCCTTTACATTCTTACTTCTCTATCTAGCCTACTTCCTACCATGGACGTAGCCAGGAATATGACCTATTAAATCTTTAATTTTCATTTATAATATTTTATTTAATCTATTTATAGTTGTTTTTGATGCATTTTTGTATTTTAAAAATATACTATGATATACAACTTATTATCAGTACCAAAAGAATCAGCTATAGTTGTTACAAATTTACAAAATTAAAATTTTGAGTAATAATTGTTTATGGTACGTACTAATTCAATCGGGAATATTATAATGCATTTACAAATGTTGTGATATTTATTCAAAATAATAATTTATGGGGCATCTGGCTCTTGGGCTTTGCCTTGTTTCTTCAATGCGGGGAACTTGGTCATTGTTGGAGATCCCATATTGACTAGGCACACTCAAGCCAATGGGTTTATAAAAGTGGGTAATCCTTTCACTCAATAAGGCCTTTTGGGTGAGGAGTTAGGCCCAACTCCAACAAGTGGTATTAGAGTCAGGTTCAGTTGAGCTGAGCGCTTGACCAACGGGTGAAGAGTTAGAGCCAGCAACTACCTCTAATAACAGGCATGACCTAACATATGGGTTTGACTGTGAGGGGGAGTGTTGGAGTCCCACATCGACTAGACACGCTCAAGCCTATTAGGTTATAAGAGGGGGTAATCCTCCCATTCAACAAGGCCTTATTGGGTGAGGAGTCAAGCCCACCTCAAATTCTATCATGGTATCAAAGCCAGCCCCATTTTGAGCTAAGTGATTGATCAGCAGTGGGCTGTCAAACTACCCACATTCATAGGCAAGTGGACGATATGGGCTTGACCGTGGGGGGAAGTGTTGGAGATCCCATTTCGACTAGGCACACTCAAGCCAATGGGTTTATAAGAGTGGGCAATCCTCCTACTCAATAAGGCTTTTTGGGTGAGGAGTTAGGCCCAACTCCAATAAGATGTTAGAATTTGAGGTGGGCCTGACTCCTCACCCAATAAGGCCTTCTTGAGTGGTGGGAGGATTGTCCACTCTTATAAATCCATTGGCTTGAGTGTGTCTAGTCGATATGGGATCTCCAACAGTCATGAACCATCTTATTTCCGCTAAATTTATTAAAGATTCTGCAGGCAACATTTTCTCTATTCAATGCACTATATTCGTTTGGGTTGGAAAAATTTTCTGATGCCAATTACACCATTTTCTCTATTCAATGCATTATCAATATTTGGGTTGAAAAAGTCTTCTGATGCCAATCACATTATTTTCTCAGTTTAATGACTTTGTGTTACAGACTGTCCTATGAAATAAGCCTTAAGATAGATTCATTGTCAAAAGTATCAAACTTGTTAACTTTTCTGTGCCAAATTCTCTGCTCTACTTCAACTCTTTATACAGATTTTACAGTTATAGTTGAAGTGACCGTGATGGCTGCAACATGGAGTGGAGTGTCACCCTTTGAGATTTGATGGCTTGCAAGGAACGGTGATATTCGAAGAGCCTTAGGAACAAAAGTTTCATGTCATAGAAACTTCAATCATTATTTTATGATTAACAAATTAAATTAAAAAAAAAAAATACATAATAGCAATCCTGTTATAATCTAAATTATATTTTACAAATATATATCCAATACCACTTATGAAAACAAGGTCCTAAAAGAAAATTTAGAGAAGGGTGTTAAGATTACAATATACACATTATATTAAAGGAAGAAAACAGAATGGTCTTGCCAAATAGATTAATTNTCATATGTAGAGACCTGTTGACGGATAGAACTTTATTGAGAACACCCCTTTATCCTTATTGGGGAGGACCAGCACAGGTAAAGGCAAAAGTGTCATTATAATGATAGTTTAGCAATATTTCATTATGACTGAAAAGAATTTGATTAATCACAGTAATACACTTGATATTTTTTACCATGATTTGTGGACTGATCTTAGACTATTTAACTGCTTCGTTATGCATTGCTGCCAATGGGTAAAAGCTGTATTGCGACAGTCTTCATCATACATACTAGGACTCCTATCTTATGCTTCAACTGAAGAAGTTAGACTTGATTTTATGTTGTTTTAAGTGTCCATGACTGCTTTATTTCACATATCTAGTTACCTTTTCTTTCTTACTATTTTATAGGGTCATCAGTATGAGATGGTATCAGGTTTTATATGTGAGGCCTTTGGATACATCCCAAGGACCGGTGAGAGTATGAAAGTGGTCCTTGGGATATTATCAAACGCAAACTTTTCTTGTAGTATTGATTATATATGCGTTGTACAAGCTAGTTTTATAATTTAACTCAGCTAGATTTGAGCTCATGGCTACTCTGTTGAATCTTCTGAATAAGTTGGGATATTCAAAATCTTGGAGTGTCTACATATTCTTATCATAGGATTTCTGAATATTATTGGAGTTAGAATTACGAGCAATAATGAAGGCTTTAATATACTATTTTGCTGAATTTCAGTTTAACAAATGTTGTAAGTTGTTATATTTATTCAGAATAGTAATTTATGGGGCCTCTCGCTCTTCAGCCCTGCCCTGTTTCTTCAGTGCAGGTAACTTCTGTTTAATAATATAGTCAGATAATTAACTGCTTTATTATAACAATATTAAGTCATGAATCATGCCATGAGTAATTTAATTTGCCATCTTCAAAACATAACACCAGTTCTTTATCAGATCTGTATGGAACTTCATCATTCATCAACATTTATATCATGTTTCGTCACTACACTTGAAGTTCCCATCTTTGCCATATTAATTGGAAAAGTTTACAATCTTCTTAAAATTGAGTATCTATACGCATGTATGAATAGCAAACTAGACTTTGGTAATTTTTTTTTATTAGAAAAACATCATTGGTTGGCGACATCCGTAGAAAATTCTCCAACATTTCTTGGAATATTCAAAACAAGGATCAAGACTTGGTGCTATAATAATGGTCGAGTAGTCTTCTAAATGAGAATGAAAACAATCTGTGATATAGATAGTCCTTAAAACTTTTGGTCACAACATTACAGCTATATATTAATTTTCATGCCTACGTTATCTCCTTATATGGCCCCATGTTTGTTGAATGTAGAAATTTCGGTTGGTATAATAAGTGAGTCCTGTGCTTAGACGATGTCCAATGTACTTAGATGGGAAGTAGTCAATACTCAAGTCTCTTTAGATACATTAACCTTACGTTTGTCATTAATTTCTACAGAAAAAAATGTCATAAAGACTTCCTACGTGGTAGTTAAATTATTGGAGAAGTCATGTAGGCCTTTCCCCACTTCATCAACCAAGCTATAATTTTCAAAACGCGTAAGAAGACGAAGATTAAAACAGAAGATGAATATATATTAAACTTGAATTTAAGAGTTAAAACTTTCAAATTAAAGTTTTGAATTTTGAGGTTGAATAATTATGTGTTACAATTCCTATAACACAATCTAAAATTTTTAGAATTTCAGTTTATAGAAACAGATTAACTTGAAACTTTTAATAAGCATTTGCAGGAGTATGATCTATGACTCAAAAAATAGATAGAAACGGGAGAAATGTATAAAAAAAAATCTATAAGATAAGGAATGTCCACTGAATTTTAAGAAATAACAATAATCATACATATATCAACCTTTTCATCTTAATAATCTAAAATCCCTTTTGCAACATCTGTGGTCATTTGGGCTTTCACTTCAACGTGTGACTTACTGCTCAAATTAGAGTATCTCAATATTGACCACACAATAGGAAGAAGAAAATTTCAAGTAAGAAAGTGACTTCAAGTATTGCAAGATTGTTTTCTTATTTAATGTGAGATTGGAAATTAATGTAGACGGTATTATTTTGTAGTTAATAAACCAAGACTTATAATTAAATTGACAAGTCTTGTTGCACGTTCCTCACTTCAAGGGCCCAAGAAACAAGCTATAAGTCACCAAATTACGTAAACAATAAGTTTGTCTTCTCATATACAAGAAGACGATGACTCCAGCAGAGAATGAATATGCTAAATCAATAACAAAGTAGAAGCCAAAACATACATTTTTGTTTCCAAGCCAGCAGACCAAGACTTTATACACACTAATCATATTATTGGACAAGTTCAAGCTAGTAGACCAAGACTTTATACACACTTTTTTTTTACGCGCATTAGGCACGGATTCAAGTCTCCTTACATACTTTACATTCGATTCCTTACATCGTTCTCAAAACTAACAAGAGAGATTAGCGAGAAGAATAGTTATTTACAAAAAAATTGATCTTAGTGTTCACACATCAAAAGATCTATATATATTATTAGATGTGCACAATTTGTGATTGATTGTCAATAAATAAAAACTGAATGGAAGAGTAGGTCATAACCAAGAATGAGTTAAAATACACATGTAATAAGATACTTTGAAGTTTATGCATGTAAATTCATATCGGAACATGACACAAATAATCTCGAATATGACTTAAACAATGCGCTACACATTTTCTCTTTTCCATGGTAATTTGGTGATTTTCTATTTCAAACATGCTTGCTCTACACGGTGTATAAAACATTCAAACTGTTCGTGTTTGAATGATGCAACTTTTAGTACCAAAAAGTTAAATGAGACAAGATTGAGTGGAATTCACATAATTTTAACAAAATGTAGTAATTAATGGGAGGGTTGGAAAGTAGACACATCAAAATTATTGAGTCAATCTAAAAGATTAGGATATTAGTGCTGAACAAATTATTGAAGTAATTAGTCCTCTACCCCATTCCTCACGGCATGAGCTAAAGAGATGGTACAGCTGTCAAAAGTTATATAACACATCAAAACATCAGTTATATATAATTAGATATGCAAAATGGACTAGAATATCGCGCATCTCAAATGGGACAAAACAATCTTCTTATCCAGGCGTTTACAAATTTGTGATTGATTGACAGCAAATAAAAATGTACTAGAATAGTAGATCTTAACCATACAAATTCATCTCGAACATAGCTTCCAATGTGTTACACATTTTCTCTGTTCTATGGTAATTTGGTGTTTTTCTATTTCAAACTAGCTTATTCTACATGTGCATAAAATATATCTCTGTTTTTTACTTTAATCGAAGAAGGCAGTTGAAAACTAAAAAAGTGAATCAAGACTATTCTGTGAATCTGGCACAATTTTAGCAAAAAAAAAAAAAAAAAATTAATTTTTCAATTATTAAAATTTGCAAAACTATGTCCACCGTGATGACCAGACTTGATGTATAGTGGATGCCAAGACTTTGTTTTATAACTGAGTCATTAATCATTATACATCAATCCGGATTTGAAAGGTAATTAATTAATTTAATTTACTGATTCCCTTTATAATTGTTCATCTATAATATAGTTGATATATCATCTTCACTTCTCATCTGTCCCAACAATTTGAATTGCAGTTTCTTTGTTTCCCGCTGAAAATATGTGGAGGTTTTTATGCCACATCTCTACTCCCCTTCCTTCTCTTCTTCAACTTGATTTTCAAGTTATTTTCTCATCCCCTTTTAACTCTTCTTCTCTTTCCGCAAAACTTGCTCTCCTGAAAAAGCTTTGCCTTACCCATTTCAAGGATAGCTTTGCAGTTGAGGCTTCTACTTTTGGGTTATGTGAAGACTATCCTTATTATCCTAAGACAGACTCTGGAAGAGGGTATGATTGCTGCTCTCATGGAAAGGCGTCACTTGTGATCGCTTCACAGGCCAAGTAATTGAACTTGACCTAGCTTAAATGGACTTGTTGGCTCAATATCTGACAATAGTAGTCTCTTCTTCCTTCACCATCTCCATAAGCTAAATCTAGCTTGCAATGATTTCACCTATCCTCAGTGTCAACCAAGTTTGGTCAATTCATGAAATTAACCCATCTTAACCTTTCGTACTCCAACTTTTATGGCCTATTACCAACTGAATCTTTCACCTATCTGAACTTGTTTCCATTGATCTTCTCTATAATAACCTTCATTTTTCCAGAACTGAGCCAACAGGTTTTTAGTAAACACTTGCAGAATCTAACAAAATTAGTTATCTTCATCTTTCTGGTGTAATATGTCTTCAGTTGCAGCCGACTCCTTTGCAAACTTGTCTTCGACTCTCATACTCTTGATCTCAGTGACACTGCTCTGCAAGGCAAGTTCCCAGAAGATGTTCTCCACCGTCCATTCCTCCACGGCTAATTTTATCCGAAATAAGTATCTCACAGGTATTTACCGAAGTCAATTGGAGCTGCACGAGACTCACTCACTTGGACTTTTCAGCAGTAACTTCATTGGCCAAATCGATGCCTCGCTATCTAAACTTAGTGAGCTCACATCTTTAGATCTCAGTCACAACAATTTTTCAAAGCAGATTCCGGATGTTTTTGGCAACCTCACAAATTAATTTACCTGGATCTTTCATCCAATAATTTCAGTGGTCAGTTGCCATCTTCAGCATTCACCTCATACAACTTTCTCTTTTAGACTTCTACAGCAATCAACTTGAAGGCCATATTCCTTGTCAAGTAAGTGGTCTTTCACTTCTTACTGACTCTACATGCATGATAACTTTCTAAGTGGCAAAGTACCACTTGGTTGTTTACTTTACCATCTTTGGAGTCATTAGACCTTAGCAACAACAAACTCACGGGTCCTATTGAGGAGTTCGTCAGCTGTAGGTCCATTGAAATTATTTTTTTGGCTAATAACAAGATTCATGGTCAAATTCCAAATTCCATGTTTGAACTTTTAAACCTTGAAAAACTTGACCTTTCATCCAACAATTTGAGTGGCTTTGTGAAGTCAGACATGTTGTCCAACCTCAAAATCTCAATGTTATTAACCTTCCCATAACCCCTTATTGTCATTAATTTCTCAAAAAGCCAACTTTACCTTGCCCTATCTTTTCGACGTCAATTTCTCTTCTTGCAACTAACCCATTTCCAATTTCTTAGAACTCAAGAAAGTTTGACAAGTCTAGACCTTTCAAACAATAGAATTTCTGGCAAGATTTCTCTACGACAATTGGAATTGCTTACAATTGGGGTATTTGGATCTCTCTTACAATTTTTTGACAAGTGTTGTTTTCCTGGAAACTTTCAATGGTGAATCTAATGGTTCTTGATCTTCAATCCAACTTGCTCCAAGGCCAGTACCTGTGATGTCAGATCCAACTTCTATGAACATCTTATCACTTCCAATAATATTTGACTGGA